TTTTTTTTTTTTTTTTACAGAATTATCTTCTGAGAATTATATTTTTCATTTCTTTAATTTTATATTTTAAACAGTAGTTTCTAGACATTGATCTTAGAAAGCAACCTTAACAAATGAATATGGGTTTCTTTTTTCTTTTTGTTTTTTACTCTAATACCCTTTTATTTAAATCAAAAGTTCACTCAATACATTCACTGCCCCAACCTAATTCAAGCTTTTCCTGTCTCCTCCTACTAATTTTTTATTGGTTTGTATACATGTGTGCATTCATATGCATCGTGTTTTATACATATTCATTGTGTTTTATAAAGTTATTTACTATTTGTCTATATTATTTTTCTGCGTTGAATCTTTCCTTTTTTCTTCATGCTATCTCCTTCAATCTACCTACTAATTTTTGGTATTCCAGTGATTTCCACTTTTCTTGTCCCCCGTTCCTCTCCCGTTTTGGACATTTATACACATCTCGCTTAGTTTTCTATTTTTACAATAATATTCTTCTGCAATATCTGTCCTTATGAGACAGAATTATTTCACTCAGCATACTACCCCCAAAATTCTCTCATGTTATAAAGTGTTTTATGAAATAATTTTTACTTAGTGTTGCACAGTATTTCTTTGTGAATGTATCATAGCTTCTCAATCCATTCGTTTGTTAATGGGCATTTGGGATGCGCCTATTTCCATTTTCTTGCTACTGTGAATAATGCTATTAAGAACACTGGTGTACAAATCTCTGTTTATTTCTTGGTTCTGATTTCCTTGGAGTAGATTCATAGCAGTGCAATAGCTGGGTCATATGAGATTTCTATGTTTAGCTTTTTGAGGAAAGACCAAATTTCATTCCAGATGGGTTGTACCATTTTTACAGTTCCACCAGCAATGCATTAGAGTTCCTTTCTCTCTGCAGCTTCCCTGACATTTATTACTTCGTGGCCTGTTAAACTTTTACTACTTCTACTGGAGTGAGATGATAACTCATTCTTGTTTTGAATTGCATCTTTCTGATTGCCAGTGATTTTGAACATTTCTGCATGTCTCTGTTTACTATCCGAATGTCTTTCTTTGTGAATATCTTTTCATGTCTTCTGCCCATTTTTTTATGTTGAGTTA